TAAAACAGATTGCACCAGTTGTTGCACAGTCTCTGATACTGGGGCCGCATGGAAGTAGTGTCTTCAGCAGGGGAGACCAACTTTTTTACTGGATGCCCGCCACCTCAACCAAAGGCCTGGTGGAACAGCTCCATTTTACAGACCTGTGGAACAATAGAAGGTCCCCCAGGGCCCTGATCTCCCGTGGGAACTTGTTCCACCAGGCTGGGGCCAGGGCAGAGAAAGCCATGGTCCTGGCTGAAGCTAAACAGACATCCCTCCGGCTGGGGACAGCCAGCAGATCTTGACTGGCAGAGCACAAGAAAGCCATGGTCCTGGCTGAAGCTAAACAGACATCCCAACAGACATCCCTCCGGCTGGGGACAGCCAGCAGATCTTGACTGGCAGAGCACAAGTCTCTCTTGGGCACATATGGGGAGAGGAGGTCACTTAGGTATGTCAGTCCCAAGCCACACAAGGCTGTGAAGGTCAATACCAGTACCAGGAAGCAGATCCGGTACCCAATTGGCAGACAGTGTAATTGGCATAGTGCCGGCTGAATGTATGCCTGCACAGGCAACACAAGTCAGCAGGCGCACCGCTGCATTTTGCACCAGCTGGAGTTTCCAGATCAACCGCAAGGGCAAGCTCACCAGTTACAGTAATCAAGCCTGGAAGTGTCCATTGCATGGGTCACTGTAGCCAAGTCCCGGGGGGAGGGGTAAGGGGCCAGCTGCCTGATCTGCCAGAGATGATAAAAGGCAGACCTAGCAACTGTGGTGACTTGGGCCTCTGTAGAAAGCCAGGCATCCAGGGTCACCCCCAGGCTCCTCACCTTCAGGGCTGGCACAAGTAATATGCCATCCAATGCCCTCCCCACGGGCTTTAACCAGCCAGGAAGGGCACAGGTCAAGAAGCCAAGTGGTTGGTTGGTTGATTGATTGATTGATTTAATTTGTATGCCGCCCTCCTGGTGTTAAGGGATGTGCTTAAAATTGTATTTTATTTGTATTGTGCTGATGGAATGTATTTGCTTTGTGTATGGATTTGAGAAAACTGTGTGCTTTGGTCTGCTTGCATCTGGAAGCTGCTATGCTGATGTGCTGCCTGCACTGGTATGCTAGTGAAGACACACACACCCCTACCCGCCCAGCCTGGGAAGAAGAAGGCAATCTCCATTATGGTCAGCCAAGAGGACTCTCACAAACAACAGGTCCTCCACCATCAAGGAATTTCTGGTCAACACGTAACCCTGATATCTGGTTTGCATCTGAAAGTGACTGTTTCCTGTTTACTGCTTGGGAACCAACTAGAGCATCTACACATCAAAAGTTTCCGGGGTACCAAGAGTTTCACACCTTGACCAGATGCTTCCATTGAGTTAAAGGTTAAGATTTGAATATTGCCCACTCCCTCTAGGTAGATACGTCACCTCCCAGTAACCAATAGGTATAGGGAATGGGACAGACTACAGGTATGAGGTTGGCACGGATGCCAACCCCCAAACTAGGTTATAAAAGGCGAGGTTCAACCTTTGTTCCACGCTAGCCATCTTTACCCCACCTAGGCAACTCAAGTTCTTCTGCAGGTAATTCTCACGTGCTATCTTGGACTGCAGCCAAGAAGCCCACACGTGTTGGCTGGTTCCAACTGTGTGAAGTAGAATCCCTCTAGTTAGATCTTTTGTTCCCGCATTCTTCATTGAGAAGGTCAAACTCTCTTCTGGATCAGATAAGTATAACCGTTACCCTTTTCTGTGTTCCTCACCAATGAGTTAAAGGTTATTATTTTCTACACTGATTGTTTTCTATTTCTATTGTATCTAAAGGAACTTGTGAGTGTGTGAGTGTGAATCTGTTTTTGTATGCCTGTGAATTCAACTAGTATTCAGTAAAGAGAACAACTTATTTTATAAACATCCAGTCGTGTTGTCTCTTTCTTGGGGGGAAAAGGAGTCTCAGTTCTGGTTCTGCTCTCTGTATACACTGGTCAAAAGAACCCACGAGCCCCCATCATACATAAGACGGATTTGGGCTAACGGATTGGTCTCCCAACGGGGTTCTCTCCTAACACTGGCCAAGGGCAGCTTACAGAACAGGGTAAAAATTCCAACAATACATATAAAAACACAGCAACACTTAATATAAATACAGTATTAAAAACAAAACGTAATAATAAAGCGCTAGCATAGTTCTTCACTTTTAACTTGGTCGGCTTCACAGCTGCCAGGACCCCATCGACATCCTGAGAAAATCAGTTGAAGTGGTCCAACATTGGACCTGAAGACGAACAAGGGGCTTCCAGTTCCTTTACAGTATCAACTGTAGCCAGGAGGTCCTGGCAGAGTGATAAAACTTTATCTGCAAAATAAGTCGCAAATGCCTCACAGCCAATATCCAATTCCCTAGCATTTTGTTTACCTTGTGGCAATTAAGTAAGTGATTGAATAGTTCTAAACAATTGAGCCAGGCATGACTTTGCAGATGCAGTGGAGACTGCATAGAATTGTCTCTTAGTGGCCTTCACTGCCATCTCATAGACCCTCATAAACGTTCTATAAAATGTTCTTGTTCCTCTGTCATGAGTATGCTACCACACTCACTCTAGCTGTCTCAGCTCTCGTTTCATCGTCTGCAGCTCCAAGGTATACCATGGGGCTACTTTGGCACAAGGGTGGAGAGGGCGCTGGGGGGCAATCTCGTCAATGGCTTCGGAGAACTGGGAGTGCCAATCCTCCATCAGCTCATCTAACAAGCTACCAGGGGGCATCGGATCTCGCAGAGCATCCTGAAGCCACTCAGGGTCCATCTGACTCCACTGGCAAGCAAAAACGCTTGCCGCCTGAACAGGGAGAGTTTGGTGTGCTCAGCCAGATCTTCAGGGCTAAGTGGTCTGATCATCTGTAGTCATCAGCTCCACATTTATCCCTATCCCAAAAATCAAATCCAGCGTGTGGCTTGTTTGATGCATGGGAGTCGATACAAACTGGGAGAGTCTCCATGGACGACACTAGGTCCTTGGCCTGAGAGGACGCTGCATCATCAGCATGGACATTGAAGTCCCTCAAAAGTAATCACCTGAGGTTCTCCGTTGCCCAGCCAAAAACTGCATCCAGCAGGCCAGGCAGGGTATCTGCTATTGCATTAGGTGGACGGTACACCAGCCAGAGAGCCAAACTCTCCTCGATCTCCCATGCCAGGCCAACACATTCAACGCAGGCAATTTTTGGAGCTAGGAGCACCCTGAAAGAAAAGGTATCTCAGATGAGCAATGCCACACACATCTCCCCGTCCAGTTGTCCAGGACTGGTGAAGGACCGAGAAACCAGGTGGGGCAAGTTGGTTAAGGACAACAGTTTGCCCTCCTGCACCCAGGTCTCAGTCATACAGGCTGTGTCTGCATCATGCTATGGAGATACTCTTGCAGAACAGAGGTCTTGTTGATAGACCTGGGATTAAACAGAACCAGTGTCGGAGATGGGTAACCAGTCCTTGCCCTGCAACCCACATTCCTTGGTATGGGATGTAGGTGGGAAGAGGTCCAAGCATTACCAGATCTCTGGCCTCTTCTGTTCCATTTCAAAGAATATCTCCTAGTCCCACCACTATGGAGAATGATGAAATGAAGATTCTTCGGGGCTTCCGATTACAAACCAATAAACACCTGGAGCATAACACACCTGAAATCACAGTTGTAGAAAAAATGAGAAGTAGGGTTTGGATCATTGACACTGCAATCCCAGTAGACAGCAGAACAGAAAAGAAAGAACAGGAGAAAATCACAAAGTGCCAAGACCTATTAACAGAGTTAGAGTGCCTCTGGGAGAAGAAGGTGACCATCGTGCCAGTTGTCACAGGAGCCCTTGGAGCAGTGCCAAGAGGTCTCAAGAAACACTTGGACATTTTGAGCATTAAGCAAATAATACCAGCTTGGCTCCAGAAGACAGTGTTTTTTGAAACAGTGAAGATACCTCTGCAATTCCTGAGAACCTGGCTAGCTCTCGAATTGCAGAACACCATCTACCAGTCAAATATTTGGCTTTCATAATTCTTAATAATATGTAATAATATATTTGAGATGCTGTTGTATTTACTAAATATCTGCACTGCAGGCAAACTGTTGATTTCAACTAAATATTGCCATGGTCCTGCAACTCCAGGCAGAAGATGGAGTGTTGTGGTGGTGGTAGGAAATAGGGCCATATCATGTTAATCTCTTTGCATGACCAGTGTCAACAGCTGACTGGTTCCCAGTTTGGCCAGAGCTCTCAAGTGCAACATTTTAACAGCCAACAAGCACTAATCACATTTTTCCTTGAGTTGTTGTAGAAATGTAAAACATTGTCATTTACAAGTATCATTTCATGAGAAAGGGGGAAAGCAGTTTTATGAACTGAGCTGATGCTGGGTGGTGTCAGCTTCCAGCAGTTGTGTGTTCTGATGTGGCCTCTACTTTGAGCAGCAGCGTCTTCAGTGGAAGCATCCAAAGCCTTCTCCCATCCAGTTCTGCCAGGCCAGTTGGAGTTGTTGACACCCAGGGATGTGAGCAGAAATGCTTTTGTGCTGTCTTCTCCCTCATATATTTGGACCCCTGTCCCTTATGGACAGTATTGGCCTGCAAAGAAAGGCTGTTATATTCTGTCCTATAAGTATTTCCACCTGAAATGCTGAACTGCCTCTCTTTGTTACTTAATGATGCTATACGTATATGCTGTGTGGCACCTTGCTACTTAGTGTCTCCCAGTCTTGCCATCACTCTAATAAGCTTCCAAAATGACCCAAGTATGTTCTCAGTGAACTGTTTAGTTGAGATGAAAACCGGTTTTTATAAGGAGCCGGTGGAAAACCAGCACTTAGTAGCCCATATGCTTCTTAGTGCCAGCTACCTCTCCAGTCCGGAGTCATCCCACTAAGTAATTAATAGCCAAATATCATAATTGCCTTTAATTCAAGGGGAAATATTTATAAACAAACATTTTAGCACATCTTCTGTAATTGCTTGGCTTTTTTGTGTGTTTTCAGGGTATGAATATAGTGGTTCCCTTCATGTTTAAATATGCAGTAGATAACCTCAACCAGATGTCTGGAAATGTTCTGAACCTGAATGATGCACCAAATACAGTCGCAACCATGGCAACGGCTGTTCTGATTGGATGTAAGTGTGATTCCTTAATCTGTTGACAGGTGCTGACTTCCTTCAGTGAGGTTTTGGAACGTTAATGTCCATGACCTTTTCTCTACTAACACTGCTATGCATCTGGGACGGTGATGATTCTGTGGAGGTTTTCTTACTGTGCTGACATCTAGCCCTGGTGCCCTGTGATGGTTTTTAATTGAATTATGCAACTATTTCTGAACCAAAGTAACTATAGAAATAATCTATTTAGAGAGTTTACTTTCTGAACTTTTTTTTAAAAGTCTGCCAGTTAAACTATCAAGAAATATACTCTAAGGCTCAAATAAAAACAAAGAGATAACTTGTGAAACAATGCCATGACAAACATATCAAGAAAATATTGTCCTAAGTATTCACCAGGATCTTATTGAACAGAAGTTAAATAAGTGACACACTTTTAATCTTTATTCCCCCCCCAGATGGCCTTTCACGAGCGGGAGCTGCTTTATTTAATGAAGCTAGAAATGCTGTATTTGGGAAAGTAGCCCAAAGCTCCATTAGAAGGATAGCAAAGAATGTCTTTCTCCATCTGCATAACCTGGACTTGGGTTTCCACCTTAGCAAGCAGACGGGAGCACTGTCAAAAACCATTGACCGAGGAACCAGAGGCATCAGCTTTGTTCTCAGCGCTTTGGTGTTCAATTTGGGACCCACCTTGTTTGAAATGGCACTTGTTAGTGGAATTCTGGTAAGTGGTTCCTTTTAACTTTTAAAATTAATTTATCAGACTTGCTCACTTTTCCGAATGATACTTATTGATGTCATTGTGTTCATAGCAGCAGCAGTTTGGTTGACCTTTTGAGTGTGTAACTAACTAAACCAAAATGTATCATAAGCAAGGCAGCTGACTGAATCATTACTTTAATTACTTTGAAATCCATGACTGGTTCTCTTTAACACTATTTAAAAGAATACCTTTGGTTCTGGGTTTTATTTCTGCTTCCAAATCAGCTTGCCAAACAATTTAAATATGTTCCTAATTAGAAATGACATCTTATACAACTTGGATCCTGTTCATATGCTGAATAATTCTCCATACCAAACATCCCAAGGGAACAAGCAATGAAGATGCAATATTTGACCTTGCATGACCATATTTACTTCCCCCATTTCTTGTTGGTAATCCATATAGGTAAAGGTTTCCCTTGCTCGAAAGCCAGTTGAATCTGACTCTAGGGGGCAGTGCTCATCTCCGTTTCCAAGCCGAAGAGCCAGCACTGTCCAAAGACATTTCCATGGTCATATGGCCGGCATGACTAAACGCCAAGGCGCACGGAACGCTGTTACCTTCCCACCACAGCACTACCTATTTATCTACTTGCAATTTCTTGCTTTCAAACTGCTAGGTTGGCAGGAGCTGGGGCCAGAGACAGGCGCTCACTCTGTCCTGCAGCACTAGGGTCTTGAACTGCCGAACTACCAACCTTCCGGTCTGCAGCTCAGCATCTTAACCTCTGAGCCACCGCAGGCCAATCCATATATGTGCAGCTGGTTAAAAAAATGGGCTCTCAGAGTACCACCAGGAAATGGCAGCCAGCAGTGTGGCCGCAGTGGGACAGATGTTACTTGTTCATCCCCTAGCCCCTGTCCATTGGAACACTCACAGCAGAGGTTTTATATAATTTAAGCCAAGCCAAAGCTGTTTGTGCGTTATGCGCCAGCTATTCCTAAAATTAGCTATGCTTTTGCTCAAATAACCCCATATGTTATGCAGCTAAATCTCAGTTTAAGAGCATAAGACATCAGATATGATCCACCCAAAACAAAGCTCTGCTATTTGAATAAATGGGTCATGTACTGGATTATACCATCATGCTAAATAAAGGTATGCCAAAGCTTAGGGTAGATGTCATTGCAACCACATCACTGGTGGGGGGAAATCCCAGAAAGGAAGTGGAGTCCTTGGCAGCAACCCAGCCTTGAGAATCAGCCTGGAAATTCTTCATTACTTTTCTTAGGTCACGTTCCTAAGCACCTCTTGCAAAGCCACTCCCATGCCTCAGTGGTAGTGAACGCATGCTTGGGATCATGTTGGTAGCTCAAGCCACACCATTCAAACGTTTAATTAGTACAACTCACCCTGAAGTACGCTCATGATTCCAATATCCACATGTTTGTGATATGAGAGGCAGAGATGGCAATGGTTTTATCCCGTGAGTGGGCCTGATCGCACTTGAAATAATTGGAACATATGTCAAGATTACCTGTCTTGATTTAGTCATCTGTTACATGTATTTCTACAAAGCTTTCCTTTCTGTAAGCTTTCCCATGTGTTTCCATTGAGGACATGTGCACATACATAGAATTTCATATATGCAAGAGTTGTGTGTGGAGGGAATATGGGAAGGGCCAGATATGTCTAGTATCAAACAATTAGATCACTCTTATCCTTGTCCTTTCTCGTCCAGCACCCAGCTCTTCTGTTTGCTTCGCTACATCTCGACTTGTAGAGGCTTATTTCACTTCTCTCTCTCAGAGTCTGTATTGTTTATGCTGCCACCTCAGCTTCATGTGTTTGCCACACTTTTATCCCTCCCTTCTTCCTCCAAGGAGCATGGGGAAGCATACATAGATCTCCCTTCCTCCACTAGGCTGAAAGACATTGACGGGCCCATAGCTGCCTAGTAAACTTCCTGGCTGAATAGTGAGGACTTGAACCTGCATCTTCCAGGTCTTTGGCAGTCAAAAATAGCAGACCTTGAACAACGATTATCTCAGATTGACAGTCCCTAGAAAACCAAAAAGGAATGGATTCGTAACTTGTAGGTGCAGCTGGACCTGGACCTCCTGTTAGATAAATAGATGGTGGAGGTGATCAAGAGGAACTTTCAGCTGCTGAGGATGCTGCCGACTTTCCTGGGCAAAAAAAGGCCTAGTCACTGTGGGGCATGCCCAGTAACATCTAGATTAGATTACTGCAATGTGCTCTAGATAAAACAGTCCATTGAGGGCTGTCCAGAATCTACAGTTGGTGCAGAATATTCTGCCCCATAGCCAGAACATATTCAGCTTGGGGTGGGGGTGCCAACGTGGTGAAGTCGCTTATGACGTGACCCGGCATATGTCTCTCCTTTTGGAGAGGAAGAAGGAGGGCCGAGGAGGAGGCAGGCAGGCAGGGCAGCGGGCAGCAAGCAGAAAGAGGTATCAAAACTCCTCTTTCTGCTGGCCGCCCGCTGTCCTGCATGCCTGCCTCATCAGCTCTCCTTCTCCCTCTCCAAATGGAAAGGGAGGCGCCGGGGCAGGCCGTTAGAGAATGGCCCGCCCTGGTGCCTTACTGCGCCTGCCAGCTCTCCTTCTCCCTCTCCGTTTGGGAAAGGGAGAAGGAGACCCAAGGTGAGGAGGAGGCAAGCAGGCAGAGCAGTGGGTGGCCAGCCAGAAGAGGTGTCGTGACACCTCTTTCTGCTGGCTGTCCACTGCCTTGCCCACCTGCCTCCTTGGGAGAAAGCGAGCCAGCTGGCACAGGCGCAGTGAGGCGCTGGAGCGAGCCATTAGAAAATGGTCCACTGTGATGCCTCACAGCGCCTGTGCGAGCCAGCCCAGCCACCATGCCAGCTCTTCTTGCTGCTTCCTGCTGCTGGGGGGGGGGGTTGTCTGTGGGTGGCACCCCCCCAATGCCCCCTCCTAGCTATGGCCTTGAGAATATTGCAGCAAGAATGTTGACTAGAGCAGGTAATAGGAACCATATCACTTCAGTCTGTTCCATCTAGACCTGCTCCCAGCTTGCTTCCAGGCTCAATTCAAGGTTGCTTGTTTTTATCTTTAAAGCCTTTTTATGGCTTGAGACAAATATACCTTAAGAACTCCTAATCTCAAATGAGCATATTTTACCCTTTCATCATCTTCAATGTCCCTGTTTTGGGTACCTCTGTCATGTAGGGCACCAAAACAGTAGAATTACCTCGCCATGGAGATTTGTCCATACCCCTTGTGGCTATGTCTTCCACCATCAGGTGAAGACTTTTTAGTTTAGTTTGGTGTTCCCTTACTGACCATCCTTCCTGTTTGTTTTCATTGCTGCAATAGATGAATGGATGGGTTGGTTTTTTTGCTGATTTGAGGGCCCTAATTTTTTAGATAGGCAGAGTAAAAATGCTTTAAATAAATAATAAATGTGTGTGGGGGGGTGTTCTTCATGAGCTCTGTTGCTGCTGGTATGTGTAATGTTTCCTTTTTTTAACTTTTGTTGTATCGTTTTCCTGGTTTAATTGTAGTGATACTCTATAGATCTTTCTAATCTGTGCTTAGGATATATGATTGTGTGTTTTCTCTGCTGCTGCTTACATTTGTGTTATCTGTTTGTGATGGACCTTTTCTATTTTATTACATTTTAATGATTCGTTGGGAGCTGCCTTAGGCAATTTCAGCAGGGCGAGCGGCCTACAATGCTCCAAGTAAATAAATTATTGATATTATATCCTTTCCCTCCCCCTCCAGTATTATAAATGTGGAGCACAGTTTGCGCTAGTAAGCCTGGGGACTCTGGGAGCTTACGCGATATTCACAATAGGAGTTACACAGTGGAGGTAAGGCATTTCTCATAACTGAGCTGGTTTCATTGATCTGTGAGGGCGTTGTAACAACACTCTTACGTAAACCTTTTGTTTTGCAGGACTAAATTTAGGATAGAAATGAACAAAGCAGATAACGATGCAGGCAATGCTGCCATTGACTCGCTGCTGAACTATGAAACTGTGAAGGTGGGTCATTAGGTATCTTGGTGTTATTCATTCCCTCCCTCTACTGTGTATCCACTGAAAAGAACGTGTATTTTGCTCCCTTCGGTTTAAGAATGATTAGAACTTGTATTTGCTGTCCTTGGTGTAAGAAATGACCCAGGCTGGTCACTTTCTTAAAAGTTCGTATGTTTTGACTTTCACTGTTTGCTCCATTGACGGTACCATCTTCAAGATGTTTTCTCACTAGGAAAATGTGGTGGAGAAGCCTAAATTTGTTGTTCAAGTTTGCTTTCTATGGGAAAAGGATGTGTTTGTTACATCTCTCTTGAATTGTTTTTCAAATGAGCTGCAGGCCATTTTGAACAAGCATTCTCTTTCTTTTGTTGTTCAAGTTTGCTTTCTATGGGAAAAGGATGTGTTTGTTACATCTCTCTTGAATTGTTTTTCAAATGAGCTGCAGGCCATTTTGAACAAGCATTCTCTTTCTTCTTCTTTTTTTGAAACCCCCGAAGGGATATTTTTATTATTTTTTCATAAGACTATATAACTACAAAGAAATATAGGGAGGGGGA